AAATTGACCTACTTACTGAAATTGAGAAGTTTGGGAGTCAACAGCGAGGCACAAGGAAAAACAATTTGCAAATCAGAGCAGCAGCCCTTGACAAACATTCCAGTAATAGGTGGATAAAGAAAATATGGCTTGTCCTTTCAGAGTGTATGGTTCTGAAACCTCTCATGAAAAAAATGTGCGGGAATATTGAGCAATTTCATCGTTAATTTTATTAGCAATTTATGTGATTAATCAGCAGATGTCATCTAAAAATATTTCTTAAAAATATGACTCAGTTCAGCTTTCAGCTGAAAGAGACCACTCATTACCAGTTTGAGTTGAGGAGAGTGGCTTCTTGTTTTGTGTTTATTTTGTTCTACTTCTGTAAAAAATGAAGTTATGCTAAATTGAGTCATATTTTCTGATGATTTCCTAGGTTTCATTAAGCAAAATAAATGGCTAAATCTGTGGAGGAAGGAAGAATGTGGAAAAGCCCACATTCCTCTCCATGTTATTAGGACAAACAGCTCCTAATAGAGCCTGGGATCATTTTTTCTAATAGTACCTTCATTATTGAGTAAGTTAAGTTTTTCAGGGCCCAAATCATAGCCTCCAATTTTAATGAAATCTAAGCCCTGGTCAAATAACCCAAATCATGGAGTGTCATCCCATACACTGAAAGGTTGCGAGTTTGATCCCCAGGTCAGGGCATGTGTGGGAGGTAGCTGATCGATGTCTCTCTCTCTCTCTCTTTCTATCTCTCTTCCCCTTTCTCTCTAAAAATCAATGAATGTCCTCGGGTGAGTATAAAAAAGGAAGGAAGGAAGGAAGGAAAGAAGGAAGGAAGGAAGGAAGGAAGGAAGAAAGGAAAGAAGGAAGGAAGGAAGGAAGGAAGGAAGGAAGGAAGGAAGGAAGGAAGGAAGGAAGGAAGGACGGAAGGAAGGAAAGAACAAGGAATCAAGGAATCTGATATCATCAGGCCCTGATTAGGTGGTTTCCTGCCCTGAAAGGATTCTGGAAACCACTATCTTTTAACATTTTCTTCCAGAAAGATCTTCCTTTGGTGACTAGGGAGACCCTCTCTGGGAGACACTGGATACATTCCAATGACAAGTACCCCAGTGGTCTGTACTTCAAAAGGAGTGCTTGACAAATGTGGACCCCAGGGAGAGAATTTTGGTGGAAAGCCTCAGTAATTCTGCTCTTGAAAGGCTTCGAGTTTTTAAATTTAATGTCCAATTTCTCTGACTTCAAGTTAGTGCACTTTTTATACAAAAACTATGTTTGGGGTTCATTTTGCTTACCCCAAATAAAATACTATAAGAAGAATTTAAGAGTTAAATGATATATACCTTAAAACATGGGATCTATTTTTTATAAAATAAAATAGCTATATTTAGATCTGTGTTGCCTGAAATATGCTGTTAGAATATGAATTTGGTCTATATTTTCTGACTTGTGCAGGTCTTAACTTTCTAAAAATAGTTTATTTAATATGTGTTGGAAATTATATTTCACTAAGTGTAATTTTGGCCCATGTATTTTTAGTTGTAACATCTACTTTCCCAGAATTTAGGGGAAGAAAGGATTTAGACTCAAGTTGGACAATAGGAAAAAAAAAGAACTGGAAGGCATTATTTAAGATTAGTGTTTAATGATAAATGGCACTGATCAGCAACTTAAAACAAAACAGAAAAATCCCTCTGTCCATGCCTGACCTGGAGAAAGGAATTGACTGATTTTTAGTCACATTTGGGAAACAGATGGTAGAATTATTCTGTGTGCATATTGGGAATGCAAACCATATAGCTCAGCTATCAAAATAATAAAATGAAGTAAAATGTCATGGGGCAGCCAGACGACAATGGATGATGCTTCACAGTCTTTGGTTTTCTGGAAAATAAATAGAGAAGTTTGCTAAATGAGAATTTTGTTTTAAAATGCTGTCATCAGGGAATAAATAATTGTATAGTTTCATCGGGTTTGAAGTATTTTCTCTTTGACCAGATTCATAGAGGTTATGAAAAGATGAGACAACTTAATTTTCTACCAAGTGCTGGGATCAATCCTTGTAACTCTGTTCCAAGCTGTAGCTTGAAAATGTAATTGGTTTTAATAGTAATTAATTTAATTAATCACAGTGATACTGTGAATATGGGCTGCTTGAGATTCTGTTTTAACAATTTTCTTTTCACTCCCACTTTTTTCTAAAATACAAAGCCAGGAAAAATTGGGGAAAGGTGAATAGATACTCTTTTTTCTTTTTGATCCAGCAATTTGTGCATAGAACTTTTAATTATACAGAAGAGATAATTCAGCGAGATATGCATGGTCACAGAATTGTATTTTAACTGATTTTTTTTTAAAGGCAAGATTTTAATTTTAACTGAGTCCTAACTGTGGGCCACTTTTATGCCAAATGTTTATAAATTAATGAAACAAGGATTGAAATAAGGAAGAACTCTAGCCCCTGTGCTAGGGTGGGAAGAAAATAGACTAATATTTAGACAACCAAAGGTTAGTCCCTGATGTGTCATACACGAGCTGAGAGAAATTGGGCACCGTTCCTTTACTTCTCTTGTTTCTGATAGATGTAACATACATTAAGGAAAATCCACTACCCCTCAAGAGATTGTTTCTGTTTATATACAATGGCACAGAGTATTAGAAATTGGCTCTGATCAGTTTTGACTTTAGAATTTGTGATGTTTATATACCAATTTTTCCAGATAAACTTAGTTTGTCTTTTCCACCAGATACTAAGCTCTCCTCAGGTCAGAAATAATATTGTTGCCTTCTTGGGCTCAGTATCCAATAAGTGTTCATCAAGATAACTCCTAACTAAGAGTTAAGACTCTTCATTTAAAATTATTTCCCTCCATGTAAATAAGGCCTCAGGGAAAGAGGCTACTACTATTTTTACAGTCAGTAAAAATGGTTTAATTCTAATTCCCTATTCAACTAACCATGATCCTGTAAGTAAGCCATTTAACCTTTCTATTGCCTCAGCTTTCTCATCTACCACATAGATATAATAATATTTTTAAAGTACATCATAATGATGAACAGATGAGAGAATTCTTTGACAAGTTAAAAGTACTATTTAATTTTGAGATACTATTATTAATAACAAGAGATTTGTGAAAATGTAGGAAACAGATTTTGCTTTCCTGGCTGGACACATGAAAAAGTGGTTTATATAAATGTACGGTCACATATCATTCTCTGAGCACTCATAATTGGTGTCTACCATCTTACTGAAATCCTGAATGGGTCCTGTACTATCTTCTTAGAAGGCAGAATATCCCCAATTATAGTCCTGGTTTGGAGTAGACTAGGTCATCTGCACTTTCCTCTCTCTCCTGCTAAGCAGTGATATGACATACCAGACAGGTTGGCATTTTGAATTATACTACCTTTGTGACTGCAATGGCCTTACCACTTCAAGGAATTCGTGGGCCTCCTAGAGTCCTTAATTTGTCATCCTAGAAGCCCTGAGCAAGAGAAAGATCACTCTGCTTTCTGCTTTAAACTAGTATCATGCTGAGACACCAAAATACATGCTTCAGGATGGGACTGGAAGAGACGACCAACTCCAGTTCTGGGCAAAAGAGCACTGTGTTCAGTGCAATAGTGCAAGTGTTCTGCTGTCAGAATTCTGGTCCCTGAACCCTCATGGACAAGGCCAAGGACAAGGTCATTCAAACAGTTTGCAAACACAGTCTGAGTACACATGGGGAATGCCTGACAAAGAGTAAGTACTTAATGCTTTTTAAAATAAATTAATGAAAGTTTCATATAATAATAGATACCAAATACTACTTCATGAATAATTGAGGGGGACACATAAGAAAATATGACATGGTTCTATACCAGATATCTTAATTTACTTCATAAGACAAGACGGCGTATGAAATGTTTGAGCATTTGAAGTGGGGCATTTTTAAGTGATAGAATGAATGATTTAAATGGGCATTCAACCTTTTGATGTCTTTGGGCCACACTGAAAGAAGAAGAGTTGTCTTGGGACACACATTAAATACATTGCAACACATAATCACACAAAAAAATCTCATGTTATAAGTAAATTTACAGTTTTATGTTGGGCTGCACTCATAGTCATACTGAGTGCAGGTTGAACACCTCTGATAAGGCTATGAGAATTCAAAGATGAGCTGAGGAGGTTTCTTAGGAAGTAAAACTTGAGATGGATTTTGAAAGATGGATGGAATTTGAGAATATAAAAGGGTGTTGGAATTCCAAGCAGTGGTAATAGTACGAGACAATGTCTAGAAATGGAAATAGGTATGTTTGTTTCACTCTTACTTTTGGGCAATGCGCAGATGGGACCGGGCATTGGTGATTGAAAACAAAATAGGATTATAACATACCTTATCTGTCATAACAACAGAAATACTCATAAATGTGTACTAAGATGTATGCATAAAAATATTTATGATTTGAAATAGCAAAATTTTTGAAGTAATTTAAATTCTGCCCATAGAGAAATGGTTAAATAATTTATGGTGCAGTCACATCATGAATACCGGGAAGTAGCTGAGAAGAATAAAGTAGACCTTTGAGTGCCGACGTAGATCACCATGGAATGGTATATTAATAGTGAAAATGCATTTATGTAATATTTGTCAACTTTGAAAATTGACTTTAAAAAATCAAAGTGGTACTTCAGGGTGATTAATGTGGTAACATTGTATCAAATTAAAAGGGAGCAATTGAAAATGAAGAGAGTATTGGGAGATGTTTGCATGAGTACTAACAACAGGAGGCCAGAGATAGGGACCTGAGTGGTAAGGAGAAGAAGAGAACCTGGGGACATTCTAAAGAATAATTTTAAAGGCCTTCATGACAGATTCTTGATATAAGGGACAAAGGCAAGAGAAGAGAAAGGAGATTTTTTCAGATTTAAGCTTAGGAAATAGACTGGTATTAATAGGAAACCTTCTCTGAAGAATTTATTTATTTATCTATCTATCTATTTATTTATTTATTTTGTTTTTCAGGATGGAAGAAACAGTACGAAATCTATTGCAGACTCAAGGATCTCCAGACCAGAAAAAAGAAGAAACTGTTAATATAATGGTCTATCAGGTACACATGTTGCTTACTCTTGACTGGGCACAGTGTGTTTTTCTCATATTTCTCTAGCTCTGTCCTCCCTAGCTCAGACATAAGCGAACAAGTATGGGCCAGACCCCAGTGCTGGGAGCCATACAATTACCTCTGTTTGAGAAATCATGTACGCATTTAACTCATTCATTTATGTTGAACTCCTACTGTGAAACAGATGGTAAATTTGGTTGTAGGAAGATATAAAAAATAAGTTTGCAGTGGTCAGGGCTATAAGAGAGGTAGCTACAGCATTCCCTGGGAACACAGGACAGGGAGTGACTTATCCTGTCTGGGAAGTTAAGGACTACTTCCCAGGGAGGGATGACATTTAAGGTGGGCCTGAGGGATAGAGAACAAAAGGACGGACACTGGAGGCAGAGGGGAAGCCTGGATGAAGGTGCAGTGCTGTGCATTTGCATGTTGGGCTCATGGAGAATAAGAAGCTCAAGGCGACCAAATGACGGCCTTGTAAGAGAAGTTTGACCCTGACACTGAGGGCGCACAGGAGAGCTGGCTGAGGTCATGCCTATATACGGGGCTTGTGGGTGTGGCCTTGCACCTTGTCCATGTGGAATTTAAAGAGATCCAAAGAGAGTAAGTGGTCAATGCAGCAACAAGTTCTCACCTTCCAATTGCCCTTAGTATGTGGGTCTTTGACACTAGCTAAGGGGCCAGGCTGGAAAGCAGGACATCTAATCTGAGTATGACCCAAGTTAGCCAAACAGATGAGAAGGCTCTGGCAGGTGAGAAGAGAAATACAGCAGAGAGAGCGCAGGTCCTCTTTATTGATAAACGGAGGACTTTTGTTGAAAATCACTTAAAAATCACAAATAGAGACCCACTATCCATTGCACAACTATACACAGAGAACTAAAAAAAATCTGAGGAAGGCAAGGAAATGGGCCAAAATTTGAGGCAATCCCTGGGCAGCACTTGGTGTTTGCTGGCTAGAAAAGGAGTGGGTTTGGGAGACAAGTGTAGGAACCCAGGTGGTAAAGATGATTTCACACCAGCTTCCCTGAATTCATGGGCTCAGGGCTCTGTACCTTACTTATTACGAGAAAGATTGGGAAGACTCTGATCATAAAAGTCACAGTATCATACAAAGTTAAGAAATCTAGGCAGGGTTAGCTTTAAGGAATCTATGTCCTCAATAGTTGGCCTTTGAAATATATCCAGGACTACTGGGACAATGGGACAGCTGTTCTCCCTCTCCAATGACTACAGTGCAGGGCGTTACTTGGCTGCCTCAGAGGAGATTCAGATTAATGCCATGAAGACAACTGAAAAAAAAATCACTAAAATCCATTTCTTACAAAGATATTCTACTTCAGAAGGTGAGGTGGTCTTTACACAGGGAATGCACCGTGCACCTTTCCTGCTGTGTGGTCACCTAGAGTTAGGATAAGAATTTAAGTCCTCCTAGCCCTGAGTCTTTCCTAGGTCTTACACCTGTTTGCGTAAAAAATTGAGGTATGAATAAATAAGGGAAGAGGGGAGAGGAAGCTTGATTCTGCAGTAAGTGGTTCCATGTGGCCTAAAAGAGTGATATGAATTTCAGTCGTAGGATTCTGAAACACTGGTCCTGTGTTCCCCCTCCCCAGTCACAGCAGGCCTGAATTAGAACTGAAGAACTCAGTATCACTCTGCTCTTTCCAAACTCCTCCTTGCTGCGCATCCAGGCTCTTGTTTTCTTTTGATCATTCTTTCCTAATCTCTCCATCACTTATTAGCTAAATCTGTGGTGTGGACATTGAACATCATCATCAGAATTTATTTTATGAAACTGGAAGCCACTTAGAAAATCAAGTGCACTTTAAAAAATGTGTTTTAAAACTATTCCCTGTCTGTAACTCAATCCATTACATTTGGGAACTCAGTGCTTCCCTCTAGGGAGAAGTCAGTAAATCATTTGAATTAATACTACATGGAAGAGATTTTTCAGTCATTGCTCTAACTGGCCTCAGGCTCACTATGCAGACAATAGGAGATAGGCAGGGGTTCCATGGACCCATAAGGTCATTTGCACATTCAACAGATATTTACTGAGCTTGAAGTATATACCAGGTACAACCTTGTTCCCTGGGGATTCAAGATGAGAATGGAGGGAAGGGAAAGAGAAATCTTGCTTGGCAGCATGGAGGCCCAGGGAGGTCCCTGTCATGTCACAAATCCTGGTATTTTACATATGGCTAATAGTTGCAAAATAGGTTTGTAAAAGATGGACGTGGTGATACTGGGGGAGCACATAGTTGACACCTTCCTGAAGTCAAATTTGTGGTTCAAACAAGAGGTCAGAGATTTATTGCTTCTTAATGTGGGCTGTTATTAACAGACCTGACTCATATTTTCCAACAGCAAGTTGTCCTCTGACAGCAGCCAGAGGTCCATGAAAAACTTCAGCCCATGGGTAAGCAGGAGTTGCTTTCATTTTCCACTGTAGAAGTGTTTGCTCTGAGGCTTTTATCATTGAGTTAATATAATACCAACAGAGTAAGAGCTTTCTGTGTTCCAGGCCTGCTTTGCTTGCATTAAAGGGTAGTCTTATTTTGTTCAAGTGGTGTGTTCCTAAAGATCTCTCATAACTTGTTACTGGTATAATTTATAACTTGCTTAATTCAATATGGATTCTCTCCAAGGCGGTGCAGTGTTTCTGTTCAGCAGCTGAAGCCGACCACCATGTGGCGGTTGGTGGTTTACAGTTTACCAGTTTGGTCGTTGTGCAGTTCTTGACTCTTTTTCTTAATTTTGAGAATTTATATGATTTCAAGGTTTCTATATGAAGTAACATTAATAACATTTCTACGTGGCCATGATTTCAAATTTACCTAGTTCAGACTCCCAGCGAATGCGACTAGCTTATAGGTCATTCAGTCCCCACAGTAACTTGAAGCAGGAGGTACTGTCACTGCCCTCATCTGACAGATGTGCACGTGGGCTCAGAGAGGCACGTACCTGCCCACGGACACCCAGCCGGGAAGGAACCTAGGGCGGTCTGGTCTTAGTCTATCTGTTTACCCCACAGCCTCAGTGTTTCATGCTGAACAATTAAGTGGTGGGGCCCAAGTTACCCACTGACTATTACCTAAATTGGGACTTTAATGTAAGCCTTTCCTCTTTCTATCTAAAGTTCTCTATATCCATTGATTCATTTGTTTGCTCATTTACTAATTCAAATGACAGTTCTTCATTTATTTTTTTATATTAAATGTAGTGGTTTTCTTTTGGTTCTGTAGCAAACTTAGTGACTTAAAACCACGTGAAGTTATTCTCTTACAATAACTCTGGAGGTCAAAAGTCTAAAATCACGATGCTGGCATTCTTTCTGCAGGCCTCAGGACGGGACCATGTCCTTGCCTCCTCCGGATTCTAGCATTCCTTGGCTTGTGTTCCTTTCCTCCATCTTCAGGGTACATGACTCCAAACTCTGATTCCACTGTCATATGCCTTTTTTTCCTGAGCTTGACCCTCTTCCTTTCTTTTATAAGGACTCTTATACATTACATTAGACCCATCCAAATAATCCAGGGTAATCTCTCCATCTCAAGATCTTCAATTTCATAACATCTGCAAAGTCCTTTTTGCCATTTAAGGTAACATTTACAGATTTCAGGGATTGGGATGTAGATATTTGGGAGGGTGGGGACATTATTCTGTCCAGCACACTAAGTAACACATTATTCTAAGCAGGCTGCCGGTACCTAGCAGACATCAAGCTAAGTGCTAGACATAACAACAATGGCTGGCCAACAGGGGCTTTTTCCTGGAAAGCTCAGTCTATGGGATGCTGGACAGAGGGGAAGAAAGGCAAGTAATCAAATATATGCAACAATGTGGCAGATGTCCAAATAGCAGCTTGCACAACGTTCTGGGAACATAAAGGACGATGCCACCAAACCTCCTGCACTGTTCTCTCTGGAGACTCTGCTTTCTGTCTCAAACTTATTTTTAATAATCCATTCATACCTAGTGCTGAGAACAATCTCATTTCATTAGGGGGAAATAAAGGACCTCCAAAGATCATCTACTGAGGAGCCTAAATAAGGAGAAGCAGCTTTAGTGTGCCTCTGCCTTTTTTTCTTTCTCCGGGTAATCCTCTCTAGGTGTTTGGGGATTTCTTATGTGCTGTGTCACATATTCTTGTCACCCAGATCACCCTTTTATTTAGTCAACTAAGTTAGAAAACATTAGGAAAAGAATTCTAATTAGACATGAAAGGGGGCAATTAAACACAAACAAATTGGAGCAGTTGGTGTGAGAGGAGCATCATTCCTTCGGCTTCACCTAGGACAGTATTCCAACACAGGCAGCCTAAGTTACCAAGGATCCTGACACTAATAGAGGGTTACCCCCTTCCAGTCCTCTTGTGTCCGTAGCTTCCCTCTGTGCTTCTTTGTTGTAGCTGATACACTTCCTCTTATCTCTGCTCTTCTCTCTAAGGCATGAAGTGAACCCACATTAGCCAACTCATTTGGAAAGAAAAAAATGGGTGGACAAATGGAAACACTAACAAGGGGGAAAAAGACTTGCATGTGGGTGCAGCTTCTGCCACTAACAAGACCTAGGACGTCAGATAGTCGAAGAAACTCCCTGTTTCCCTTAGTTTTCATATTTGTAAAAGATGAGGTTTGGCCTAGATCAGGGATCACAAACACAAATACTTAGTTGCCAAATAAGAGTGGGCCGGGTATGAGAAAAATTAAGTGCCTTGTGAGGTTTGCATTCTATTTTTCTACTTTTGATAAGAAAACGGGTACAAAGAGAGGTTTTTTGTTTTGTTTTTAATAAAAATACAAAACTCTTTCTTATACAATAGCAACTCATACCTGATTTAATGCCAAAGGACAGTAGGGAGTAGTGGAGATTGTGGCAGAGTAGAGAGCCACTATCAGGCCTGAAGGCAGCTGCCACAGCCCAGCTGCAGCCGAGTCAGAGGACCGAAACTGTGCACAGGTAGCCACATGGTTCAGAAGATGAAG